TACTTGGAGAAGATCAGTTTGGATTTAGAAGAGGAAAAGGAACCAGGGATGCAATTGGGATGATGAGAATTATAGCTAGAACGAACTTTGAGATAGATGAAGAACTGTGTGTTTGCTTCGTAGACTGGCGGAAGGCATTTTACCGTGTAAACTGGACCAAATTAATGCAGATCCTAAAGGAAACAGGTATCGATTGGCGTGAAAGAAGATTGATCAGCAAATTGTACATGGATCAGAAAGTCAGAGTACGACTGGACAGTGGGGAGACAAGAAGTGTGCAGATTGGAAGAGGAATTCGACAAGGATGCTGTTTATCACCAATTCTGTTCAACTTGTACAGCGAATGCCTTACCAAGGAAGCTCTGGATGGGCTCGGAGACTTCAAATTAGGAGGGCAAATTATTCAAACTGTGAAATATGCAGATGACCTTGTGTTAATGGCTAAGGAAGAAACTGTGCTACAGGGCATGATTGATAGACTAATTGAAATTGGAAGGTGCTATGGCATGGAAATGAATGTGGAGAAAACAAAAGTAATGAAAATTTCGAGACAACCAACCCCAGTCACAATAAAGATAGACCAAAAACAAGTGGAGAATGTGAAATGTTTTAAATATTTGGGTAGCTTGTTAACAGATGATGGAAGGTGTACTTGTGAAATTAAATCCAGGATTGCCATGGCAAAAGCTGCATTTAGCAAGAAGAATCTTTTTACCAGCAAACTGGACTTAAATTTGAGGAAGAAACTAGTGAAATGCTACATTTGGAGCATAGCTCTGTATGGGGCTGAAACATGGACACTTAGGGCAGTAGATCAGAAACATCCGGAAATAGTGTTATATCTCAGAAGACACAATTCTTCAAGTAATGTCCTTATGAGCATAACTGTCCATTCAGGGCCCACAAACATTGTGCTTATGCTGGGTGAAGTATAAATAAATGAAAGATTAATTCTTTGATAAATTTTGCAGTCAAGTTCCATGAGGGTGTAGTAATATATATCAAATATGTGGTCACCAATATTATAACACTGTTCTTTTCATACCATTTCTGTGATAAATTCAATCACAAGATCTTCCAACAGATCTACGCTTTCCGTGTATGGATTCTGGTCATCCCCAAATCCATACATCATACATCGCAGTTCTTTGGAGAAAAAGCGTTTACGTCCTGAAAGGGTTGCCCCAAGGGGTGCTTCTGCTTCTTCTTCTTCAAACTGTTTTGGGAGGGGGAAAAAACTGAATTTTTATCAGCAGTACTTAATTAGTACAGAAGTGGTCATGCAGTAGTCATAGCATATCAAATTTGGTTTATTAGACTACCAATATATTTTGTGGTTACTCTCTTGGAAGCATTTCGTAAAGTTATCCCTGTAACAGGCCGTGGAGGCCCATAGGGTTGTCAGAGGTTGAGGCTCCCACATCCTCTAGACAATCAGCTCACAGATTGCGGCAAGGCTGTCGGCCTTACGCACCGACTCCCAAGGAACATTCCTGATACTCATTTCTGTTAGAGGCTGAGTAAACCACAGGATTAGTTCAGTGAACATTATATTACTTTACCCCTTATAAGCCTGATATTCATTGAAATATTTAAAAATTCAGTTTCTACCTCACAGAAACTCTGTCTCCATTACAAAAACCAATCAGATAATGCTGTTCTGGGAAATATTCTCTGATTAGTCTGAGAATCATATGAATCACATAAATCTACCCTGTGGGCAAATGAAATTGTTTCTATTGAAGCAAGCGAAACACAGTAATCACTGTGCTTAAACGTTTTAAGGTTAGGGCCTCCCGGTCATTGTGACCACCCTGAAGCTGGATCTGGGCGATTCTTAAGTGCATGAAAGTACGAATTGCAAACTACTGTACATCATAACTTCAAAACAAAGAGTTGATAACGGTATTAATAATGACTGCACAATCAGAGGGTTCATGAACTATAGTTAAATTACATGCATTCAACCTATTTCCTTGTGTTCGCATTACAATATAGTCTAATGATACCTGTTCAAAACTCTCTTCCGTCTGGGCCATTGTGTGCTTAAAGTTTTATTTATTATTGTCAAGAGCAAACAAAATATAACTGTGATGACACGTAAAAATATATATACACTGTAGTGCGGGTTGGCATAAAGGATAGATTCTACTCGATGTTTTAAACACACTTAGGAAGTTCGTAAATGACACCACTTATTCCACAGTGAATAGTGAATCGGACCATTATTATTAATTATTTGCGATTGTTTAAAAATTCACAAAGTAGCTACACAGTTCGTAATTTTCATTGCCATGTCCTGCTATTACCGCCATCTTCGGCATTTTTCGAACTAACCGAACAGCCAATAGATGCAGGGCATGCAAATGTTACCAATTCTCCATGTCGCCGAGGGTGTATAAGCTGGCGATTTTTATGTTTACATTCAGTTATATTGGTCACAATGACTAGTACTCGCGTAAATCTGCCGGTGGATTAGTCGTGGCGTGAACTTCAAAAGTGATGGTTAGAAAAGAGCGGTATGCATGATGTAAGCGCAGGAGTGTGTTAAATTTTTTTACACAATGGGTTAACATAATAATTTTGCAAGTGTTTTATTGTTCAGTGTGTTGTGGGAATGAAGACGAGTCGGAATGAGATCTTAACGCGGCATAACAATGCCATTTGTTCAGCGTGTGGTGGAGCCTAAATTCCTCAGCCGGCGAAGTCTGCATGCCGATGATGGCCAACCCTTAGTTTCTGATTATGAGCTTGAAGCCGTCACAAACAACACCTTAAGCAGTGCTCTGCGACAATTAGCATGCCTTGTACTAATTGCGAATGATATATTTGAGGATCTAAGGAAGCAGCTTGAAGATGTTTCCGAACGATCTAAAAGGTTACGAAATCGCATCGAGTCCGTGGAGGGGAAAGTTACGGCATTTGATCCCAAGAAGGTGACAGTTCGTAAGTACATTTACGATTCAGCTTTGGGCTTTCTGATTTTATGTAGTATGAATTTAGTAGTTAGTATTGGTGTTTTTCCGTGTAAGAAAGAATGTACTGGGTCCCCTCGTATAGGGAACCCGAAGAACCAATTTTACAAATTATTGTGGTTTGTCTTAGTCCACTGGGCACTAGTCCACACATTTAGGCGTCTTTAAAAATATGTCTTTGCCGACGACTCGACCTGATCCGGTATTATGTTTGTAAGTTCCGTTATAAGTAAAGACCCTCCCCCTGCTGTTGCACTTGTTGGGCCTCAAAATGTAGGTCTACATTTGCATGAAGACATATTTAAATATAAGTATTTTTCACGCTTGAATACATTTATTGTACTCTGTACCCTGTTAAACTGGCGCAATGACAGAACGTTCAGTCTAATCGCGTTTAAAAATTATAATGCAGTCTCAGCATTGCATTCACAGTGGAAATGAAAAGTTCGTATGTTTACTAGAGACAGTGTGCATGATTGAGAAACCCCACACCTGCGTGCACGTAAAAATTTATCCACACGTCTCTGTTGAAGTTAGTACAGCTATCACAGTAACAAAATTACTCAGATTATTAGATAAACTTCCAGACCAGTTCTGGGAACCACCCTGCCTCCTAGCTAGTGCCAGTTTCCTCGAGGGTAAAGCTGCCGGGGTGTGGAGCTGACCACTCACCTCTCAACTCCATATAGTGCCAAGGCCAGGAATGGTGGAGCTATACCATCCTTCCCCCATCCCCGTCGCATAATGCTTAATAAATTAAGAACAGGCACAACTTTTCCTTTTTTACCACCAATGATTTAACGAATTCACCGAACTAGTTACGAACAACATGCAAGAGGAGCGGAAAATACCAGACTGCCTAAACAGCTTTTAGCATGGAAGCCAAGAAGGAACAGAATTTCTTGACCATGGAACAGATTATATGAAACCACAGCAGGTCACATAGTTTGTTGCTTGACAGGACGATTGTAATGTAGAAGCAGGGGAATTCTAAAGTATTATGCTGATAATATTATGAAACATAACTATCCTCACCGTTTTTTTTTCTTCTTCATAATTCGTATTTAATTTTTGCCGGATTAACTGTGTGTCCATGCTTTGAAATTGGTATTATAGTAGGTGTGTATTTTCGAAGTTGGAACTAGGGTGCATTTGACCTACTCTCCTGCCTTAAGGAACATAGCAGTAGGAACGAAGGCTTTATACGTGTATGGTCTGATCAGAATTCTTTATTGTTTTTTTTTCATATGCATTTGCATGAGAATCGCTTTTATTCATGATAAGACCCGTGCGATATGTACGAGTACTGCGTAAGAGGAGGCTGCGAAAATTTGCAGCATGTATAAGAGATGTAAGTAAAAATATAAATCATGTGCCTAAGCACCACTTTATAAAGACATGAGGGAGCGAAGGTAAGACTGTGGCATTAGATTGAGATGAACGGCTAAGCCTAACACTCCTGCCGCCTTAACATCAGGGACAGAATCCTCGAGTAGATGACGTGGTGGCGAAGATACATCCAGCCCCTGCCAGTAACCGAATCCGGTCTCCCAGTTCGAAATGAGTCTCCTTATTGAGAAGTTGGGTCTGAATAAGACATGTACGGAACATGTAAGATTTGAGGCTTTCACGGCGGTGACTATGAAGAAAGCAGTCTTCTGGGATTTGGCACCGTGTATATGTGGTGTTAACCGACGTTTCGGAGGAACNATTGCGTTTTAGGCCATATTATTCTTGCCTCCAGATCCTGGGAGTAACGAATGAAGAGTTCGAAGAGTCATTAAGTAAACAGAGCTTAATTTAAGCATACTTAAAAATACATTTGTAGAATATTCAAGTCGCAACTACATAATCAGAATTGGCTGGAACAAAATGAAAATAAACGTGAGTGTGAATGTTGCAGGTCAGTACGGGTTGGTTTTTTTTTTTTTGTTGTTTTTTTTTAAGCCATCCTTTACGCTCCTGCTATTAAATGTTAATATAATTCCAATCAGATCCCTGTGATATTTTTATGTCAGCAGTCGATTAGTTTTTGATTAATCATTGTGACTACCTAGTAGCCCAGACTTGATTTGCACGAAATTGAGAAGTTGCCGTACATAGAGTGCAAGCAATCGTGAAAATTCATGTGCTGATTCTGGCGGCCTCAGCATTTGAGAAGACGGGACAGAGCTGGTTGGCATAGTGGCAGCGGGCCTGGGCCGGTGCTCGGTTCGAATCTTGGCCGGTACATCGCTTATACTGACTGAGATTTTTCCAGGTTTTCAACAGTTCCTCCAGGGCAATACCGGGATAGTATGTCAGGCTGCGATCGCGTCCTTCCAAATCCCTTAACTTTTCGTCGTTCATCCAACCTAGTCGTCGCTGTACAGTCTAGATAAGAGTTTTTAAACCTATTTCAACTCATGGCACACCGAACAAGGCGCTAAAATTGTCGAGGAACATAATTTTTAAGGAGAGATTTTTATGATTAAAAACGCATAATAAGATTATGTTTAAAAAGATCAGTAGATAAAATTCTAATCATTGTATTATTTTTTTAAAATTAAAGTTGATTTTGGATTTCCACAATTTTTTATTCCTCATTTTTTCTCGCTTGTCGACCTTACCCCAAACTCCCGCTGCACTCTGCGGTTCCTTCGCGTCACTCAGTGTGCCGCGGCACACCGGTTGAAAATCGCTGGTCCAGATGCCGACAGTATCGTAAAATAGAACACCAGAAGGTACGGTCAAGTTGTCCCTGTGCGTAACTTAATTAAGCACTACGCCACGAAGACATGTGGGGGAGTGCATGTATATACCCACGTATTCTTGACCTCGGCACTAGTTGAAGGTGAGTGGACAGCTTCACGCCTCGGCAGTTTTATCCCCGGAGAAAGAGCCCCCGGTCCTCATTGGATAGGAGGTTGGGTGAACCCCAGAGCGGGATTCGAACCCCGACCCTTCGGTCGTCCAGCCCATAGCCAGTCGCCATACCGACTGAGCTATCCCGGCTCCTCGGTTATCCACATCACACTAAGATATCCGTATGACAGCGATTTATTATATCAGTTTCCAGTTCTTAGTGCAAGAAAAAACACTGCGACCCGCACAAAACTCTGTTCGACGCATATTAATGCTCAGCTGTTAATAACACGCTGCAGTATTAATTTTAATATCACATACATGGTAAGTCCCAAAGATAACATATTGCAGTAGTAACAAAATATATCAGAATCTAGACTGCGGGAGAAATTGAGGTTTTGAGTTCCATAGCCCTGTATGTATTTGCAGTTTTCCACTATTATGCCGTGCCACTATCTGCTACATCTAGACGCGGAAAAATGAGGTGGGACCTTCCCAAATTTGGTTTAATGTGTATCTAAAAATTTTGGAATTCCGTTGCCGTTTATGATATTGTGCCCGAATTAATCGCTGATAATTGAATAATCTGTTTCAACATAGACTTATATGTAGTGTGTATTATTCAGCCAGTGCAGATATTTTTGCCCATTATCACTTGTAGGTGTTTTTGTGTGACTTGTAAGGCAGGATATGGATTGGATTTATTAACGCCTTGTACACACCAATTTGAACTGCATGCAATTACAGCGCTATTGCTGATCTACACATTGTACAGTTCACCGTTACAAACGCGCTAGGGTTCTCAGTCTTCATTAGTCGTATCCTGGTAACGGAATTACGAGTACAATAGTCTCTGTCACTTCAAATCACACTTAAAGTCTTCTTGTCACAGTCTAATTCCTTTCCTGCTCTTTCATCCCAGTCACCTTAGACTGTCATCTCCAGAACTCGACCCATTTTTTAACAACTACTAACTCAACTGAACTCTCTCAACTTCTGACAACAACTAACTCAAACGTCAAGTCGAAGTCGAAGTCAAAATCAAAGTCACATTGCGACCGACGGTCAGTCAGTCAGTCAGTCAGTCTTGGTGTCGACCAGATATTTATTACTGTTTGACAGTTACGGTTTTCGACCTTCTTTGACCTTGTATAACCCCTCGGCACGGACTACGAAGAAAAAAACATTTCTATTGTTGAGAAGGCTTGTTCACTGATCTGTTGCCTAGCAGTGATCATCCTATTGTTACATGCGTTGGCTCCCGCGGGAATGTATTTACCGAGTCGTCGCCTAGCAATGGGTCTATACGTCACACTATTAACAGTTTTTTATTACAGTGTTCATGGATCAGAGCCTGGCCGGAAAAGATGAATATGTTTTTGTAATGTTCTGTTTGTGACCAGAGTGTACCGTCACGAAAACTGGTTTTCATCAAGATACAGTCAGTCCCATAACTGGCACTATCTTATTTGAACTGAAGCTCGTGTGAGTGTATTGACATACTGTGATAGGCGCTCAGCTGGCCAAAAATACCCCCGCTTATTATAACAGACCTACCCAGTAATGGATTAAAAAGAGCCCTCTGCTGGACTCTGCCCTATAAATATGCTGTTTTTTTTTTTGCACCGATTTTTAAAAATATTGTCTACCTACACGCTAGATCTCATGTGTGGTTTCTTTTCTTCAAGTTTTATATGAATTTCCCATGTATGCTAAGTGTCCTGCCCGTGAATGCTAACATTTTAAGTTGCATATGAGACGGCGAAATAAGAAGAGAAAACGAGTGACGTACAACAGGATGCTGCAGTAATAACATCATCGTCAACGACTTGAACATCTCAATAGTAATTTTCAGTGAATGCCTGCTGTTGTGTATCATATATTATTTCTTACTTAAAACTTCATAACACAACAATCTTTTGCAAAAGTATCTCCTAAAGCTACTTACACGTATTATTGATTGTTGTGTTGTGACGGTTTTCAGTAAGAAATAATCTCAGTAGTATTCAACAGAGTGAAAAAAGAAGCTCGCTAGCGAATAGACTCGGGGTTCGATTTCTGGCGGGGGGAAGAGATTTTTTTATTGTCCATAGCATGCAGGCCTGTTCTGGGGCCCACCCATCCTCC